TGGAATACCTGCCTAATGTGCAAACCACTACACCACGAAGGCAAGCCAAGAAGCTGGGAGAAATACCTTATAAGGTATTTTTTGGAAGCAGGAGAGATGAAAAATCAGCAACGCCCTCGCCGGAAATTGAATCACAGGCCTCTGGAATACGCGCCCAGCGTGCAGACTACTACACTACGTAGTCACTACACTAAGCATGCTAAGAAGGAGGGAGAAATACTTTAATACTGATCAAATTTTACACTTACAATTATTAATATTGTTGAGAAATTGCCTTGCATTGATTCCAAGTTCATATTAATTTTAAAAGCTTTAATATTATTTTACTTTAATCCTGCGCAGGGGACGGGTGTAAAAATGTGTGTTTTTAGTTTTTAGCCTATTATTATGCTTACTTTTGTACTTACCATTAGCAGCTTATAGCGCTATTGTTTCTGTTTCATTAAGGTTTTTTTTTTTTGTCGCTTTCCGATTGGTAAGTTTGTTTGCAAAGTTTTTCCCTTTAATAATGAACAATTTTTATACGGTTACAATTATTAATATTGCTGAGAAATTATCTTGCTTTGATTCCAATTTGATACTAATTTTAAAAGCTTAAAGTTTATTTTACTTCAATCCTGTAGTTATAGCGCAGGACAGGTTTAAAAAAATATGTTTTTAATTTTTAGTCTATTATTATGCTTATATATATATATATATGTGTGTGTGTGTGTGTGTGTGTATTCTGAATAATACATTTATGTATATATTATGCTGAGTAATATATATATATATGCTGTTAACGATAACGCTACAGCGATAATCATCCAGCAGACGAACTCTTTAGAAAACGCAATTTGTAATTTAACCTTCAGGATCTCCTGCTTAAAACAGATGCAGCAATAGATTAATCCTACTTATCCAGTGTTCTTTCGTTTTTACTCCGTCAGCTTAGAGCATTACGATCCAATCCAGGGCGCGATATCCGTAAGTTTTATCTCGAATCGTTTTGGCTCGTCTTATTGTCGCCCAATGAGAAAACAAAAAGAGAGTGGGTAGGGAAGTATACCGAAAGTAAAGATGATTTTAAGTGCCTCGGGGGTAATCGATAAAATATCAACACAGAGACGACAAAAGAGAACGACATCGATAATGACTGTGCAAAGAAAAAACAACTTCACGGAGAAATAGAAAGGATAAAAAAGGCTTAACTATTGAGAGAATATCTTATCAACAGATAAAAGACTTTCCGCGCAGAGTGCACTTTTCCCAAATACGTCATGAACTGATATGCAAACAGCTACTATTCCTGTCTGTTTTTATTTGTCTTAAACTTTATTGCTTTCTCGAGGTCATAATGGAAAACGCGAGCGGCATGGAGGATAATGTTTGAAAAGGAGGAAAAAGAATACAAGCAGAAGAATGAAAAATTAAAAGAATTTTTTACCTTTTTTCCTTCTTAAGATCTGTAGTAATGGTTTTCTTAATGGTACTTTTCCATGTTTAATTCCAGCAAGATATGTTATTGCTGAATTTTAATATTTTTTACATTAACGTGAATGATAAAAACTGCATAAAACTAAAAGCGGAATTCAGCATTTACATTTTTAACTCTTCTTTTAAGGGAATACTGAGATCTGTTTAATACCTGATTTGCATATTTAAAAAACATGAATTGAATGGAAGACAATAGGATAAATTTACTTTACTAATAGTGAATAGTACCTAAAGCAGTGATAGTATGTAGCTAAAGCAATGATATATTTTAATAGTAACTAAAGCAATACCATAGCTTTAGCAATTATATATTTTGCTACTATTAAATGTATATTTTGCTACTATATACCCAGGTATATCTTTGCTACCCAGGAATATATATAAATATATTCGCTACTATATATTTAGCTACTATATAGTATACTATATATTTTTGCCTAAAAACAAGAGCCATAGTAAATGTAGTAACTGAGCAGACTGTTGGTCGTGATTCGATACATAATTTTTTACATGGCAATTTTTTTTAAATAGAGCAAAATATTCCACTCTATTTCTGTAATAATATAACGTTACTTTTATAACAACAGTTATTAATCATATTCAAGGGGGACGCATATTTATCCTACAAATGCCATTATGATTTGTAGATTTTCTAATATTCAAGACGAAAATTATGTAAATTATTTATACGCTGCTTAAATAATAAAGCAAGGATAGTTAACATTAATTTTTACTTATATTCAAAAGGATAGGGGCAGAAGACCACAGACAGACCCCCCCCCAGCACTAGCAGTTTGGCCTTTTAGGAATCAGCATCCATACCCAGGAGACCATTCAAGCGGGTGCAGCCCCTGCAGTATCCACTGGGCAACAACAACACTGCTACCAGTCGCTACCCCGGCCGCAACTTAAACAAAGGTAAAGGTGTGTCGTCTGAAATGTCGGTCCCTCAGAGGAACCGAAGGGGACCGAACCACCAAAGACAACCACAATTTCAAACAATTTTTACGACACCACAGCCAAGGGGCAGACAAGTACTGTCCTGTCGGTGCCTGAATCACCCCCTCCCCAATGAACGGAGGTTCTAGTCCTGTGAAGCTACTATATATAGCCTCGTGGTTGAGACTGCCTAAGTACAGATCCTAACCAGTACTTCCCAGGAATACTCCTGAATCAACCCCAGGAAGGATTCAAAAGAATAGTGGAACATTAATGCATTTTTTTAAATTTTGTTTTAATTTATTGAAATACTCTCGCAAAAAAATTACGATATAGCAGAATGCCATTTAATTGGATCCCAACATCATTTATTCGAATTTATCCAACTTCTTTTCCTAGTTTTTTAAAATTAAGCGTGCATATGATAATTTTATTTAAATAATATTCCATACAGAGTTTTAAGAAAACATGTATTTTATTGTCAATATTGGTACTTCTTAATTCTATGCAAATAAAGATATAATATTTGAATTTATTTTTATTTGATTAGAAACTTCATTACACCTGCTTTTTGCAAGTATGAAATAACTTATTCCTTTAAGTGTAGCAAAGTGAACATAGAAAAACATTTAGCGTTTGTAATTTTAAAAATCTATACAAATAATATCTAATTTAATTATTTTATTAATTGGAAATTTTATTGCGGTGTAGGCAGATAAAAATGCAGTTTAATTGTTTAATTTATTTGAAACCATATTGTATATGTATACAGATAAAAATGTAGTTTTATTTGTTTCTGTAGAAACAAGATTACGTCTGATATTGTCTAAATTATCCTTTAAATAAATATATATTATTCTTTGTTAACTGAAATAAAATGCTATGCATTTTAGAATAATATTTATTCAGTAAATATAATTTAAAAAGTATGGAAGCTTTCAGATTTTACATTACGCCCAAAGAGACACTTTTTAAAGTTTTTTTTTGTATTACCTTTATTTATTAAATATCATGTTCTTCAAACTTGAATCATAAAATTCCATTCAACAGTAATATTACAAAATATTTAAAACAGCATATCTTTAGAATTTCCTGTACACAGCCTCGCGAGTTGGAAATACTTGTTTTCGCACTGTTGCCATTGCCCGCTTTGAAATCGTTGAGTTTCTTAATCAAAAACTCATAAATACTTTAAAAAATATGAAATAGATAATAAAACAAATTCCAAATTTGCGCTTCTAGATGCCCATATTCGGGTAGAGACGTACGTAATTTAAAATTTGATGGCTCTAGGTACCAAAAAAAAAATTCAAAATTTGATGGCGAAAAACATACATACATCTATGCAGATTCTTTATTATTTAATTCCTTTAAATATAATACAGGTCGATAATATTTGGTGGCGCCAATTTTAAAAGTGAAGCAGGCATTTAAAGTTTTCAATGCAAAATGCCAAAATGAAATTAATAGCCCTTTATGACTTACGCCCTTTGAGCTAAAAATTTTATTTTTCAGTTGGATTATACTAAATACATATTTGGGCTTTAGAGAAATAATACAATGGTCCCAAGTCAACAGCAGCCCTATCACAAGTATGTGTCACTAACCTAGAGCATGCTTTGCCAATGCTTTATTTCTCTTCTTTTTTCCCCTTTTCAGTAATTTCATTTTCCTGATGAGGAGGGACCTTTAAGAGGTTATCACGTATGGCTAGAGTCCCTGCTAGACGGGATTTTTCTCAGAAATGCGATTCTGGTAGCACTGGTTTAAGCAAGCGAATTCCTAGAAAAAAGAGCCACGCCTGAAGCGAAGTCCCGTCTAGCTGCGAAAATGGTGTTGCGGCTACGCGGGATTTTTTCAAACCTCATCGAAAATGTCTCGCCGGGCTCTCTGTCCCGTGCAGAGGTAACCCAATCAGACGAAAGTTCTGCTTCTGAAGCATCACGTCATCCCAGTCTGAGCGATAATCGATTAGTGTTTGGCGTTCAAGTCTTTGTAGTAAGTGAGAATGGTAACCTAACTACGTGGGTTTCTTGGAATTGTGCGGGTTTTGAGAATTGTTCCTTTCGACTTCAAGTCCCGTGTAGCTGAAACATAATGTGATTGGAGCTTTAGCTGTCCTCGAAATCGATTGAGAGCTTTCTTTATCTTCATAAAATGTAGAAAGATACATTTTTGAAAATCTTTGCTATTTACATATTTTTTACTTACTAACGTTGCCGTCCTTGTTAAAACATTGTCGTCAACAAATAGTTTTATGAAAGTGTTTCTTATCATAATAAAACTCACAGGTTCTAAATGAACGTACGTGATCAAAGTGTAACTCATTCCTCCTTAGAATTGAATGCTATCTTCTCTATTATATAAATACCTGATAAACAGGATATTCAATGGGAAAATAAAAATGGCAGTTTCATATTACCCAGACCGTTACTTGCGTCAAAGTAATATAATATTTATGAATATGTGTGAAGAATAGTATTTCGTCTTAAATAACCTTTTAATCTGGTTATAAAGGTTTCATTTTCATCAATAAATGCTGTCAATGTTATATACAAATTGAAATTAAGTAACTCAAATCTTACCTGTCACAATGAGTTGCAAATGAGTCCTGTCTTCTCCTGCGCTGTTATTAGCCACGCAAATGTAAGTTGCGGTATCCATTTTAGAAGCCTTATGGATGTGAAGAGTCGATTTTAAAACTTGCATTCTGCGATTTGAAGACAATTGTTGTAAACGAGCTCCTTCTTGTCTGTACCAGGTGTACGAAGGCACCGGATATCCTTGAGCTAAGCAGAAGAGCTCAGCTGTGTCACCAACTTTGAAATGATGCTCTCGAACAATGTTGCGGATGCGAGGTACGAGTAAAGTAGCTGGTTCTAAAAATTAAATTTTTATCTGTTAGATATTTTTCATGTAATGCCACAAAGTAATTGTAACATCAATTATAAAATTTGGCGTTATAGAAGCAGAAAAATCTCTCTGTTGCCAAAATCTAAAGCTTTAACCTGACTTCGCATTTAAATTACTCTGTTTAACCTTTGGATTTTATCTATTTAGATTTAATTTTACATTGAATTTCTATTTTGAGTTCTCTTTATAAATGTTGGTTAATTTGTAAGCACTACTTTGCCTTCTGTTTATCTTATTTAGCTTTAAAATGTAGGGTCTTTTACACCCTTCTCAAGTCTCTATAGTGTTTCTGAAGACATAGCCATAAGTCGCTTAAGGATTAGCCACAAATTCCATTTAGTAAAAGGTTATTTCTTTGCAAACATTACGAGTATCTTTCGTGGAAAGCTCCTATGCCTCTTTCCACATCAAGCCTGGAAGGTTTGACCTAAGTTTTTAAAAATTATTTTTAGTTAAAGCTACTTTCCTGATCATCCTAATTTTAGCTTTCAACTTCCTACCAGAATGTGTTTTAAGAATCGCGTTTAATACAAATGAGTAAGAGCAGTATTTAAGTCGAAGTTCCACTGACTTCGAGAGACAGCCTCAGAGTTTCTGACTAGTGAGCGTTCGCCTTTTGGGTACATCGCTCTAAGCTCTTAGTAAACTAGACCTTAATCCAGGACCTTTGATAGCTTCGGCTATATTGGTTAAGAATTATTTAATTATTTCTTATTATTTTGAGTGCTCAAGTGGAGGTTTTGCTGTACGCCATGAGAAAGGGGCCATCCGTTAGCTCTTATTTTTTAACAATAAAGGGTAGTTAACCCTTCTCGAGTTTACATCTCTGTTCCTGAACTAAAAAGATTATTCGCTTACCTGTTGACTGGGTTCCTCCACATTTAGTTGTTAGATAAAAGGGTGGGACCCCACAATCCTATATTTTATGAACAATCTCTGTCGTCTAACGCATGCTAAAATAGCACTTCCATTATGGAATTTTTAGCTATGTAGGGTTTATAAACATTATTTCTTTATAAAGACACGAGCTTGATTTTACTTCATTAAACATGAAATAATAAATATAAAGGTCAGTCTATAAGGTATTTCTCCCACTTCCCTAGCGTGCCTTCGTGGTGTAACGGTAGCACGCTGGGCCGGTATTCCAGAGGTCCGTGGTTCGATTTCCGGCAAAGGCGATTGCATATTTTTCATCTTTTCTGCTTCCAATTAACCTAATGACTCTACAAGCGGCACCCGAACTAAAAGGGTTGTGGATGATGATTCTCCGCACCCAGGATTTGGCTACTAGGTCCCCTAAAACCCTAGTCGCCCTTTAAAAAGGGGGAGTATATAAGGTATTTTTTCCATTTCCCTAGCGTGCTTTCGTGGTGTAACGGTAGCACGCTTGGCCGGTATTCCAGATGTCCGTGGTTCGATTCCCGGCGAAGGCGGTTGCATATTTTACATCTTTTCTGCTTCCAATTAACCTAATGACTTTTATTAATAAAACTCTTATTAATGACCTAATAAGTCTTATTAATAAATGAAGCCTATATCCAGCACTTTATTGGGAGATCTAATTTCGTGAACATGTAAAATAATTTTTAATTCCTTGAAGGCATTTTATGCATACTATAAGTTAAATAATATTAAAAAGATTAACAATCAGAGAAAACTATCAACTACAAAATTTCAAACAACAGAAATAATAAATATACAGAGAGCTAGAGGCATTTTTATTTGCTTTTATTTTCAAACTGTAAAAAGTTTGCTTTTCCAACTGCAGTCTTTTCCTTTGCTAAATCGGTTTCATGTTTTCAAAATATCTGATGCGCTACGCATTACGCAAAAGTTTAGCAGGTGGCTGCAACAACGGAGAGGGGGGATGGAATCCGAATCTTTTAAAGTGCACTCGTCGAAACTTCGTTTGACATTTTTCACAGCTGTGACCTTCTCATAATTTAGCGTAACATTTTTTAAGAGATGGTAGCTGTTACTCCAATGCTTCCTATTTCCTTACGTAAACTATTTTGCACTAGAAAGTAATGCTGCCAAGTACAGATACAAAAACTTTGTGTTTTCATTCATTTCCTTCCCATTCCTTTCATTTTGATCGATGGCAACAATTTTTTCATGGATCCAGTGGAGAGACAAGCTAAATCTTATGATCTCCGGCAAGATAGTTTAATACAGCAAAACGTGTTCTGTTGTCGATATTGGCTTTACGTAAACTTATAAATCAGATATGAACTGATCCTACTATTTGCTGTGCCTCTTTCTTAAAAGGAAGCTAACTCGATGAGAATTCACATTAATAATGTCTTAAAGTTCTTAGTTTTTGCTTTATTTCTTAACAACAATATATTATTTCTTGTTGTTTCTACCTGTCTGAGAAAAAACCGAGAACAGAAATCTCTGCGAATATGAAATTACATATTATTTATGATTTAAATAAAAGTGAAGTAAAAACCTGGGTTATAGAAACTCTATCGATTTCGAGGGCGAACAAAATCCCTCTTCATCAGGAGCAAAGAAATCTGCAACGACTGTTGGACAAGGCACATACGGCCAGTTGCAGATTTCTTTACTCCTGATGAAGAGGGATTTTGTTCGCCCTCGAAATCGATAGAGTTTCTATGCTAAAAGTCTGTGCCTTACTATTTACGAATTTACGCATAAATGCATAAATGGTAATAATGCATAAATGTGTTTATGCATAAATGATAATAATGAATAGTAATAATAATAATACATAGATGATTATAATAAACGACAAATAATACCTCATAATAAAGATAATAACAAGTTTCAATTTATGCGTAAATGCGTTCATGCATTTAGGGTCACATTTATGGATTTATGAATAAATGCATACCATTTTCGCGAAATATTTTCTATTAACAAATTAAGCTTATTAAATATTAATCTTAATAATTCCATTCAATCAATAGTCTTTTGTAGCTGCAATTCGTTTTTCAAATAAAGTTCTTGTTTAGTAAGGTCTTCATCGTTTAAACAGTTATTATAATTTCATTTCGGTTAATTCGGATTAATTAAAATTCAGTTAAACAATTTTACTAGCTTCACACATTTTAAACGCATATCTCTTGTTAATAAAATGCTTCTTGTAATAAAAAATAAATAAATAATCAAAATAAAATTCTGTTTAAATATAAAAATTTAAATGGAAAGATTCTGAAACTTATACTGCGCCAGAATTCTCACAATAGCACGGATCTGCATAATTTAAAAAGTTCATAGATGGTGATTATAAATAGAGTAATTAAATTCTTACATACATACTTTTAAAGTAAATTTAAAACACTGATTTGAAAAAAGGATTTACCACTGTAAGTTTTCCTTAACTTAAAGGGTTCACGGTTTTATATTTTAAAAGTATTTAAGACGCAACGGACATAAAATATACCAAATGTTTCTAACTGAGACAGAAAATGGTTAAGTTTAGTTCTTTCACTGCTAGTTTGCTCTAGGCTGAAGCGCATCGCGGTCTCAAACGAGATTTAAATTTTTTTTCATTGCTAAGCAACGAAAGAAGTATGAGGTTTTTCGAGTTTCATATATACACGATAGAAATTGTTTCCGAACATACACATAAGACAGCAGTAAACAGACAAACCTTCGCCGAGTGCGCACTTGCGCCCATAGGATGCACCGATGTTTTAAGCTGGACGCATATATGGGCCCATAGTAGTCAAAAGTTAACACTCATAGCACACGAGGATTGCCTGCCTAAGAGGATGGATGTTCACTGAAGAGCTTCCTGAGGAAAACAAATTATACTACTATAACAGATGGGCAAAACCACAAAATCAGACCATGCAAATAGCCCGTTCGCTTGGGCTAAAACAGTAGCGGTATGAACTATTCCACTACTGGTGTTATGCTGACATAAAAGGAATCCAAATCTTTAAAATGCACTCAGACGTCAAACACAAACGTCACAGCTGTGGCTTTCTCAAAGTTTAGCGGAACGCATTTTATAGAGGCGAAGAATAAAGTCCATGTATTACTATTATAGAATGTCACTTTCTTTTGCAGCATAAACTAGTGAGCTCTAGGAAGACTACAACGGAATAGTCCTCTTGTCTTAAACTGTAAAGCAACAAAGTCGAAAGAAGGGAGTAAATTAGCCCTTTTATTATGAACACAAAAAAATTGCAATGCCCCAACCTGGGTTTGCATAAGCCAACACGTCAGGCTTAATTTAAATAAATAATGTTGAGCTAATTTAAATATATCAGATTAGCCTAACGGCTCGCAGGATAACTTAAACGCGCAGGAAAGGCTCTGGTTTGTAGAAAAACCGGCGAGAGAAGGGAAATGGCTAGAAACACTCAAGAATTAAATCGCTAATATTCACGGTAGAACGTGGCCTGGAAAAGGCAGACATGCTCTAAAAATAACTTGCGTATCCTTTCTCTTAAAAAACGCTTTTCCTACCTCTATCGTTCGCTATCTCATTTACATTCTCTAATGAAAAAGCGTGGGTCAAAAGCGAGTGACAGGAAACCACTAAAACTTAAAATTAACTATTAGTTAAAAATAGGCCCGGTGGCGCAGTGGCTAGCGCTTCGCGCAGCAGCACCACAGGGGGTTCGATTCCCGGAATGGGCAAGGTCGACTCAGCCTTTCATCCCTTGATTTTCATCACTTGCTCAATAAAATGAGTACCAAGTTCGCTTGGGGACTAAACACTGGGAGTCTTGTGACAAGCTGACCAATTGTTCAGAGCATATGCTTACACATACCAGGGCCCACGGTCAAGAAAGCAGATTTCGAACACTGCAGGCCTCGGCTCATTAGGGCTGTTACGCCACTGAGTTTAGTTTAGTTTACTTTATTAGTTAAAAATAAATAGATAAAAACCTCTGTTATACTAAGAATAAAAATAAGTGCTATTTTTATATGTTGATTGGTTCAGAGGATAAAAAACGAATTCACTGGCCATTAGCAAGAGTGATCGAACTCTTTTCTGGGAGAGACGGACGTACAAGACTTTTGAAATTGAAAGCTTGTAAAGGATCTTTACTCAGACCTATTCAAAGAATGTACCCCTTAGAAGTTACCGAACATTCGAATAATGTGAACATTAATTTGACATTTTATATTTTGAATATTTCATGTATTTTAGAAAGTTTACATTTAATGTTTATATTTTGTTGAGTTTTCTCCCAAAGGTCCTAAAACTCAACTGGGGAGAATGTCGCGCCACTTATGGTAAGTAAATTGCCTCAGTTGATACTTTATATGAAAAAGAGCGGCAACGCCTCAGTTTATCACGAGACTATGATTGGAACAGTAGGTTTAAAGATTTAAAAATAGATATGATTTTAGTAATGAAGCGGTTTGTTGCAAAATAATTGAAATAAAATGCATAATTAATTATGCCTTTAAAGAAACGTCTTGTCCTTCGATTCAAGCGAGCCGTTTCATTTATCTGATTTAATGAGTATCTTTAATCTAAAGTAAACGACATCTTGTTTTTCCTCCGATATCGTTACAGATATAAGGAATCGGAGGGTGTAAAATTCTACTGAAAAATTAAAAAGGCGTGGTTAATTCAGTCTACAGATAATTTCCAACAGAACAACTCTCCAGAAGGCTCTGGAACTCTCGACTAAAGAAACTAGCCGTTAGCAAGATCCTCGCATAACGAGGCCGATAATTTTACATTATAAGCTATTTCTCCCATTTACTTGCCATGCCTTCGTCGTGGGGTGGTCTGCATGTTGGGCGCGAATTCCAGAAGTTCAATTCCCGGTGGAGGCGTTGCACATTTCCCATCTCTTCTTCCAAATTACCTAATGTCTCTACAAGTGGCGCCCGAACTAAAACAGTGGTGGATGATGATTCTCCCCACCCAGGATATGGCGAGAATGGGTCCCCTAAAATCCAGGTCACCCTTTTAAAGGGGAAGTATATAAGGTGTTTCTCCCGCCTTCTTAGCGTGCTTTCGTGGCGTAGTGGTCTGTATGCTGGACGAGCATTCCAGAGGTTTGTGGTTCGATTCCCGGCGAAGGCATTGCTAATTTTTCATCTTTCCTGCTTCCAAAATTACCTAATGTTCCTAATGTGGCTCCCGAACTAAAATGTTCGAGGATTATGATTGTTCATACCCAGGATTTGGCAATTGGGTCCCCTAAAAACCTAAGTCGTCCCTTAAAAGGTATTCCTCCCACCTTCTTGGCATGGCTTCGTGGTGGTCTGCACGCTGGATGCGTATTTCAGAGGTCCATGGTTCGATTCTCGGAGAAGGCGTTACTCATTTTTCACATCTCCTGCTTCCAAAGTGCGTAATGTCTGTACAGTGGCCTCCGAACTAAAAGGTGATGGATGATGATTCTCCACACTCAGGATTTGGCGACTGGGTCCCCTAAGAAAACCCAGTCAAGTCCTTTAAGAAATGGAGTATATGATGTATTTCTCCCGCCTTCCTAGCGTGCCTTCGTGGTGTTGTGGTCTACATGCTGGGCGCGTATTACAGAGGTCCATAGTTCGCTTCTCGGCGAAGACGTTGCTTGTTATTTTATTTTTTGTCAGTTGCTACATTAATTTCATAGTCAAGTGAAAATGTCAATGCCAAAGTGAACAAGATAAAAAAAAAAAAAAAAAAAAAAAAAAAATCATACACGTTCCTTTCAGACAATACGGAGAATTTGTTTTTGGCTATTGCGTTAAAATTTAGACTACTAACATACTCTGAACGTGAAGCCATTAAGTATTCGGAATTCTTTAACAGAAGAAAGATCCATATATTTTTAATGACATACTCTGAAAATTGGAAGATTTAGCCGTATGTCGTTTGTTACAGAATTTTTCTGATGTTTTTCACCTGGAAATTTCAAAAGAGCTCAAGTTTCATGAGAGGTTATTTAATTTTTAAACGTCTATAATATTTCTATATTTTTAAATATATGTCTGTATTTTTAAACTTATGTAACGTGGTATTAATAAAAGGTACTTTGATAGACTTTAAAAATTTTACCTCGCTCTTTATATCTTTGAATGCCAAGGATAACATAAAACTTCATAACGATGATGACGTAGCTAATTCAGAACTCAAAAAAAGTTCGAGAACCGAAATATTTCTGTTGGTGAGTTTCCAAATTGGATAATGTACTGTAGCATGATTACATAAATAGGAAACAAATTAATTTTTCAGACGACGCAATTTAGATTCTAGGAAGTGGAAAGTTAGCACATTTGAGCTTCATATTTTTTTATCTTACATATATATGCTTATTATTATTTTTATCTTCCGTATATATTTTTGATGTTGAGTCGAAGATGTTGATAATGACCATATTACACACGCAAACAATGCTCAAATAATTTTCAAACATATGAAAGGCATGAAACACTGACTCTTAAAATATAGCAAAATACAGCAAAGTTGCAGGAACACTGCTATCCAGGAGCACACTTTGAGAATCAAACAACCATGTGGTTCTTTTCTTCGTTGCTTTCTTTTTTGTTTTTTAGAGAAGTCAGTAGAAGGAGAAAGGATTCCTCGCCGTAAAGAGAAAATGCTTCTAATGCGATGCTAAACTGCGTTGTGAAGACTGAGCTTTTGCAGAAGCTCTGGTTGTAATTTTTCACTGACTGAACTTTTGTGATAATCACAGACATTTGGCACTAAGCAGACCACCTTTTCCAAGAATTAGAACTTTTGGAGTTTACTAATGAAATATTTCTGTGCAAAGATTTATCATCATATCATATGTTTTTTTGTTTGTTTGTTTGTTTGCTTCCCTTTAAATGCATGTTAATAGACGTATTTAGTCTTAGAATCACTATAAAAGACCATGCAAACAAGTTTTTATATAAAACTTATTACTTTATATATTCACTCAATTTTTCCTTTTTATGAAACCTTATGAATAAAGAAGTTTAAATAACAGTTTTATGGAACAAATACAGATAATGGCAACTGCTTTGAAGCAGTACACCTCAAGTAGACGCGCATTATCATTTGATATCAGCGTTTGACTGAAATTCGTCTTTTTCAGTTTTATATAAATTTTTATTCCCTCGTACGAGGTATAAAAGAAGAATTGTAATCGCGAAACACTGTGTTATCCGATTTTAAAGGAAACATTTATTTTGACCATTCTCGAATCCCTTTTGACTCTACGTTTTTAATCGCAATCGGCAGTATCAAAAGAATATAATATACAGCACTCCCCCTACCCGGCTTAAAAGTCTTTACTTGGTCTTCATTTTCACAACAGTTAGTCAAAGGTATATAGTTTCAATTCCAATTACGGAATTGTTTCAAATGACAAATAATATACAATAATATTCAAAACAGGCGTTATTTTTGTTGTTGCGAAGCTTAGTTTCTCTAGACTGGCAAACAAATCTACTATTCTGCTGTTCAAATGTAAACAAATATGTCAGCCATGTTATTAAAAAATTAGGCTTAACCGCACTTAAACAGCTTTTAAATTGTTGATAATTGTACAGATATTCCTTGCATATTTACAAAAGGAATTAAAATCCTTAACCGGAAGATAAGAACAACATAATTTAATCATATTTGAAGCCAAAAATGCACAATTTACGAACATATAAGAATAAAGAAACTAAGCTCGCTGAGCCGAGTAACAGAGTAGATATATGTCTATATTTATATACTTTGGTGCAGCCGATTGCAACCAAAATAGGAGCTGCACATCTACATGTTATAGCAGTCTTATATACAACATTTCAATGTTCTGAGTATACTAGTTTTTGAGTTATGTTTTTGATTTAGTACACATACGTACAGACATCACGAAAAGATCTCTTCTGAATCAGTTTTATAATTCGTTTGGGGAAAACGAGTCCTTTATTTTGTACTTACGTACAGATGTCACGCAAAAAACATCGTTAAATTGCGGGCAAGATGGATAATTTCGTTGAAATAAGAATTTTTCCCGATTATTTTTACTTCCTTTTTACTTCGTACAAGGAAGTAAAATGAGCATTGCGGGTAAAAAATTGCTTCAAGCAATTAATAACAATTTATGTTATTACTGTTACAATGTTACCATATGAATAAAGCTAGTTTAATATATTTAGAAAGGACAAAAATAAAACCTCCTTTTTATAAAACAATTTTAAAAAGTGAAGTTAAAGTAATAAAACTCAAAATACTGTAGAATACTGGTGAGCACTAAAAAGGGTAAAGTACGTCGTCTAATATTTATACTTTATGATCGTTTAAACAGAACACCCGTAAAATGAAATTTTATTGAAAAACTATATTATATTTTTAAAAGCAGTGGAACAAGTAAACATATTTTTCATTACGATTGCTAAACGTGAGATTATGATTACATTAAGTTATATTAAGATTACATGAAGATTAACATCACGATTTTGTTAAGAATGATCCCTGTTTAAATTTATCGTAAGAGGAAAGTTTGTTTTATTTTAAAATAAGTTAGAAAAACTAAAATTCTTTTTCAATTACAAAAGCCATGCGATAAATGTTAGTTTGTTTACTGAGGTGAAATATAAATTAAATTCATAATGATAAATGTATCAAAGGTCTAAACTAATTTAAAAACCTACCTGTAACAATAAGTTGACCCCAAGGGATACTTGAAACTGATTCATTATCCATTTCGTCTCTACAAATGCATCTGTACTTCTTCTTGCCATCAGAAAGATCGGCTTTCTCAATGACGAGGGATCCATCCATTGTAATTTTATACTTTCCTACAAATTAAAAATAAAGGACTTAATTTACTTGCTAACTAGCAATAATGTTGAGACATTCACAATACATTATAATTACAGTTATTAGAATTAAAAGTTTTTTATTACTATTATTTTTTCAGTTTCAGTTAGAATTCTCAGCTCAGAATTAAAGATTATAATTACTATGAAACGAAATAAAAGTCGTAATTTTAGTTTAAATAATGCGCGCGATAGCAGGAAGTTAGCATTTTCTCCCCTTCCTAAAAGAGATTTGAGAATTATCTATTTAGCTCTGAACTTTCTCAAGTTAACAGAAGACACTGTGAAAGATTGTGTCGTTTCTAGAAATAAGGCTTAAAGAATTGAAGACATGAATGTTGTGCCTGGACTGTGCTGACTGTCTTGGAAATTTATCTAATCATTTCAGTGGATGTTTAAACTAGACATCTTAGTTTCGGTTTTTATATGTTTTAAATACGTACTGCTAAAGACAGTTTTATATTTCTCTTTAATCCTTATATATATATATATAATCTGAGGAGATAATATAATAAATATTTCTTTAGTAAATAAATTATTATTAACTTACTTTGCAGCAATTGCGCAAGTAGTAGAATACTCGTTTTCGCACCAATTACGATATATATATATATATATATATATATATATATATATATATATTCAGATAACTATTTATAACTACAACATATAGTAATTCAAGTGATTTCGTTTTCTGTATGTAAAAAACTATCCCTGGAATAAAACCAAAGATATTTTCTACGTGGTACAGAGTATTTGCTTTAGTTTTCAAATGAAAGCATCTCATACACAGTGTAACAAAATGAGATATTTAAAATAACGCATTGATACATTTAAATTTAAATCGTTTTGAGTTCCGAAATGCTGTATGGAAACAAGCACATTAGCTTCTAAAAGAGATACACTTTTTGAAATGGTGTCATCTTCTAAAAGTCTGGTGATACGACTCAGTTCATTTGGCACTTAGATTAACACAATAAGTTGCGAGGTTTTTATCGATTTATTTTTAACTAAAAGTTAGCATTTCGTGATCCCTGTGACTCTCTTTTCACACAACGTTTTATGCCAGAACTTAAATGAGATAACGAGCGTTTATTCAGATTGACAGAAAAAGAAGTGTTATTTATCCGAAGGTTATGGAAGTTATTTTTAGAGAGTGCTCTGCATATTTCAGGCCACTTTAAACAGTGAGTTATAAGTGATTTGATTCTGTGGCGTTGAGTGCCTCTAGCCATTGGCTTGTTCCACCAGTTTTCTATGAGCCAGAGTCTTTCCTGCGCCTTATTTTATCTTGTGAGCAGTTCTGATATATTACATTTGCATTAGTTCAACATTACGTATTTAAATTAAGCCAGAAGTGTTTGGCTTGGGTTATCCATATTCGTTCATTGTTATTTCTTCGTATTTAAATAAAAGGCTATTTACACACTTCTTCTGATTTTGTATGTATACAGTTTAAGACAATTGGACTATTCCTCTGTAGTCTTCCTACAGCTCACTAGTTTATGCTACCAATGAAAGTGAAATTCGACAAAGTTATTGTTTCCAAATTTCCAAAAATTTGTACTTTTGGTAACAATTCTAAGCATTACACAGTGCATACTAAGAAGGACTTTTGAATTCTAATAATGATTACTGGATTGGTAAATAGGAGTTTTTCGCGTTGATTTGGAAAAATTGGTAACTGTTGTAAGGTTTGTCCTAAGTTTATAACAGTTATTCTTAAGTTGAAGTTCCTTTCTTATCTCTCCTAATTTCAGCTTGCAAATTCCTTGCCAGAATTTGATTTTAGAATCGCGTTTAATGCAAATGAGTAGGAGTAGTATTTAAGTCCAAGTTCCACTGACTTCGAGAGAGAGAATCAGAGTTTCTGAATAGCGCGCGTTTCCCTTTTGGCCACATCTCTCTAAGCTGTTACTACGCTCGACCGTATTATTATACATTATATTATTATTATACGGATCCTGGATAGCTTCGCTAGCTAATTCGATATGTAGGGGCCAACTGATTAGAATTGTGTTAGCTTAGGCTAAATCTTTCAGTTAGTCATTAGTTAAGTTCTTATTTCTCCTAATTTTGAGTTCAAGCCCAAGTGGAGGCTTTGTTGTACGTCCTGAGAAAGGGGCCATCTGTTAATCCTTATTTTGAGCAATAAAGGGTAATTAACCCTTTTTGAGTTTCACGTTTCTGTTACTGAAGCGATTATTTGCTTAGCTGTTCACTAGGTTCCTCTACACTCAGTTATTAGATAAAAGGGAAAAACACCACATTAGCTCACTTGCCGGGACTCAAACCACGGACATACGCGCTGAGCGTGCTGATCACTACACCATAAAGGCATGCTAAGAAGACGGGAGATATACCTTATACTGTTATCCAAAGTTACTCTGTAGAACTAAAAAGTACTTGGGGGATGATTAGCAACTTATAAATACTTAGTCTTCAGACATCAATACGATCTTCATTTATATATGTTTATCAGAGCTATGCTGTTAGTTTATTAAGTATTTCGAATGTTAGGCTCGAAGCTAGAGAGAAAAAAAACTATGTTTTTCTTAAATTTCCAAATTTATATTGAACATTTAATATATTATAAATTAAGTATATTTTAAGTAATTTGCAGCCAAATAATAATTTGAATTTTATTCGGCCTTAAGTAGTTTAAATTTGCCTTATGACCTGACCGTCAATGGCAAGGAATTTGATAAAAAAGTAGCTTAAATATTTTTCCAAGATGGAGTATGATAATTGGAAGATGAATATGATTCTTTCTTTCTCCTAACTCTACCTAATGCTAATGCTTCGAACTTTACCTAATGCAATTAACTTGCAGTTAACCGGAGGCAGATTAACAGAGTAGCGAGCTTTGTATAAAAAAAGAAAACTTAAATCTATTTATTGCAAAACGATGAGAAATTTAATATCTCAAACCATCAGAATAAAGCACGTTTCTACGATAAAATACATCAAGGAGAAGAAAATATGCGGATAAAGACTGTGATACCAGATGGCGTCACAGTACAAAGAATTTGCTTTTATCCACAGTGATACATAATTTAACAGCACATAATGTGGAATATATAAATATTTCTAAAATATCAGTTGAAAAGAAACTCCTAAGTAATAAAAATATTAAATTATGTATAAAGCTATTAATATTGTTTTCCCCATGGATTCCAGGAAAGAGAAGGGTAATGAAAACTAAAATATTCGTCGTTTGGTTGTTCTTTTCGAAACTGTATTGTTGTTCTGAATGATAAATTATTTTCCATAACCAAACAAACTTAATTCATAAATTTACAAATGCCAGTTTTATGCTATTTGTAGTATGGGTTACATATCTATCCAATGTTTGTACCTTAATTGCAATTGGATTAAACAAGATTTTGGTTAAACTGGCTGCACATCCGTCCTAAGTATTATTCTGGTTATATAATATCTGCCCCAAGTACTATGGGGTTTAATCGAGAGTCTACTACAGTTCTTGAATTTAACTAGACAGAGACATTTAAAGCGGTAAATATAAAAGATGTCGTGAGAAGATTTAGTCTTAAATTTATTTTATTTTTTAACTGTGTTCTCCTTATTCCAACTTTAACAAATGCAAGACAGTAGATTAATTACTCAAAATTAGCCATACAATGTATTGCATATATTTACATTGTAAATCATTGCAGCTATTTTTATTGCTAGAAATTTTATTATTGAGCTCGAATTTTTAATTTAGGTTTCAATGTTCCTTATTGGGGCAGTCAAGATTATGTCTGAGTTACAGTTAAGTTCAAATATTTTGATTAAAATCTGAATTTCTTAAGGTATTTTCTTTCTTCTTCTAACATGCTCTCGTGGTGTGAAGGTAACACACTCGGCGCGTGTTCGAGAGGTCCTTGTTCGAGTCCCGGAGAGAAAAATTGCTCATTTTTCATGTATCTTTATTCAAATAAAGGGACAGTGCCCACGTCCTCCGTCGCTTATCGCTTATCCTTGTTCAAAATACTCTACCATGACTCCCGAACTAAAAGGCAAAATTCGTCACCACCAGGATTTGGCGATTGGGTCCCCTAATTCTCAGCCGCTCTTTAAAAGAGGGAGTATATAATATTTATCTCCCTCCTTTCTGTATGCCTTCGTGGTGTATTCAAGATCACTCGGCGCGCATTCAAGATGTACAGGTTCGAATCCCGATAAGGGAACTGCACATTTTCACATCTCCTTCTTCAAAATAACCTAATGTCTCTACAGTTTAAATTTATTTATGAAATTTATGAAGTATTTAGTACATAATGAATGAATTTTCAGGTATTTTTGTAACGTAATGCACATAAATCTATTCTTTGAAAATGAAATTCTTTCAAAGAGGCAACTCAGAGACAATAAATTTTTGAATGGTGTTTTATCACAAATCATTAGTCGACATCGATTATTTATTCTGCAGCTCAGGCAAAAAAAGATGGCTCCAACAGAGAGTAGAAATATCAGATATTAGGCCTATATTCCTCTGCTTAATTTCAGGAAACCCGATTACTATTGTTGTGAATTATACATTTTAAAACTAAAAAGTGCCTGGATATTCTTTTTAAGTTTCCTCTAAAATCATTCAAATTTTATGTACACAGACTAGCTGATAAAAAATGTCCAATAAATAGCTCTTTGAAAGAAGAGAGAGTAATGTACAATTGAAAATCCTAAAGTTAAATTCATTCAAATTTAAAAGACTAATTCTAGCCAACAAAGCAATTTATTTTATGTTACACGTAGGAAATTTATGATTAACATTTACTGAATGAATATATTTTATTGCATTTCTAATTGAATTACTGAATTAATATATTTTATTGCATATTTCTCATCCATCTCAGCTCGTAAACTAAATGCTTTATTATTTAGACAAATGCTCCGGATATATTAAAAGCAGAAATAGAAGTCCACAAAACAAAATTTATACTGGGTTCGAGGCAGAAAGAGACCTGCTTCATGAA